AGTCCATGCATGCAGAAGACTGGCTGCCAGGAACCAAATCCCACAGGAACCTCTGGAAATCCTCCTTCTCCCACAGAGTTTCACTCACGACAGCTGAGTTCTCTTGAAGAGGCTTTAATCTTGGTTGCAATATTTACAAGTACTTTACAGCAATAGATTACATAAGCTGACACAATGCTCCGCCACCATCCGAACTGCCAAAATAATTCACCAAATTTTTGTACAGTGGCGAATCCTCCCTTATACACTCTCTGCCAGTGATTTTAGTCCAGCCCCAAGCAGTACGTCACACAGTTTCCTCTCACATGTGTACCACGACTTTGCAGTATTGAAGCTTCATGACACTGCTTCCTGCTGAGGTGTCATCATCTTCCTGTGACTCAGCACTTCTCAGTTTTGCACACTCATCATGGCACCTTTTGAACTCCGGTTACCTTTCACCTTTGTTCTCCAGCTCAGGATGGCACTAGGACTATATCAAGGAATTAACTAACGAGGAACTTGGAGAGCAATTCTTTTCCCACCCGCTTTCCATTCCGTTCCCAAGCGTGAAAAGGAAGGCCGCAGGCCCAGCCTTTCGCCAACTTAGGCTGCATCCACACTGCCAAACTAATCTGGTTTGACACCACTTTAACTGCCCTGGCTCAATGCTATGAGATTCTGGGAATTGCAGTTTGTTGCAGCATCAGAAAAGATAGCAAGGAATGTTGTTTTTCGACCTTGAAGGCTGGTAGACTGTTTCACAGCCAAAGATATAACATTGATGATGAACTGGGAGTAAAGGAAGAAAGCCAAAGTCGTTCACGCATGGCAAGTAGAAGTGTAACGTAATCAGGAAAGGAGAGGGTTGGAATTATATCTTGTAACATATGGGAATGTTGAATTATGCATGTGTTAATATAATTATAAACTAGCCGTGTAATATGGCATATAAGTATAATGATTAGCTGTGAGAGAGGCTCTCAAGTCACAAGACAAACCTGTCTGAGAGGCCCATAGACCTCTATTTTCCTGACTAGGCCGAGGGTCTCCATTCCTGTTTTTTATCCACAACACTTCTTCATCTGTTAGTCTCAAAGGTGCTACAAAATCTCTCTCTATATTAATTCTACAGACTAACATGGCTATATCTGTAAATTCTACTACTATGGAAAGCCCCAAATTTAGCTGAATGAAGTGGAAAATCCATCAACCTCTTCAAGAAACTTGCCCAGATACAGACAAATATCTACATTTTCTACAAGTGTAAGCCATGGGATGCCCATGTGTGGGCAGCCCTTTGCAAAACTACGTATCATGTAGAGCTTATGGGTGCTACTCATGCTGACTGGTTCTGCAGTAGCCAACATTTCTTTTTGGTTTTCTTCAGTTAAACCCCTGCACTCCTCTCTCCTGGCTTCCACTCCACCATAAGCATCTGAAGAAGTAGACTGAAGTCTACGAAAGCTAACGCTACAAATTTCTTCTATTTTTCACCAATTAGTCTCAAAGGTGCAGCAAAATCTCCCTATATATTAATTCTATATCTGTAAATTTGACAACCCTGATTCTACACACAATGGCCCAAAACACACTGCAGAAACAATCCAGTTTGAGACCTCTTTACCAGCCTTGACTCAGTGCCAAGGAATCCTAGGAACTGTAGTTTATTGCGGCACCAGAGCTCTGACAGAGGAGGCTAAATGTCTCACAAAACTACAGTTCCCAGGATTCCCAAGCACTGAGCCAGGGCAGTTAAAGCACTCTGAAACTGGATTATTTCTGCAGCCTGTTTTGGACCACACACAACTCGTTCACTTCCCTTTGTGTGCCTTTTCACATTTTTTTGTGTTGTGTATCTGTCACCAAAGTTTGACTGTTTACCTAGTCTGTGGACGTTCAAAATTACTTTTAAAAACTTTTACTTAAACAAACTTATTTTTTAAAAAAATACTTTAAAAACTATTTTTTTTAAAAAAAAAAACTTCTGTAATTATACAAAATTTTGTATCTCCTGACTGGTGCCACAACAAACGACGGTTCCCAGAATTCCACAGCATAGAGCCAGGGCAGTTAAAGCGGAGAAAAGAATGCAATGCAATTTTTAATGTAGCAGCAAATGTTTTAATGTCAATGGTTGTAAAGTATGTGGATATTGAATAAAATAAAAATTATTGAAATAAAGGGAATAAAAGAAAGAAAAAAGCTGAGTCAAACTGGATTATATCCACGCTGTGAATGCAGTCAGGAAATAACCACACTACACTCTTATAGTGCTATTCACTTTAACTGCTCTGGCTGCCTCCTGTTGCATTCCGGGGTTTGTAGTCCAGCGAGACCTAAGAGCGCTGTGACTGCGAATTCTAATCGCCCCTCTTTTAAACTGCGAATCCCAGAATGCAACGGGAGGCTTGTTCTCAAAGTGGAACAAGAGCGTAGTAGTGCGGGACTCCACTCGCTCCGCCTCTTTTTCAAAGACGCGCGAAGCAACCGCCGGCTCCCAACGGTAACACCTCACGCTCGGCTTCTTCAACCCGCCGTCAATCATTCCCGCATCGTCCAATCAGATTGCACATTTCACGGAAGATACACACGCGCAGTACGGCTTATTTCCTCCCTCCCTCTCACTCATTCCCCGCCGGCTCTCCTCAGAGCTCCGTTCTCGTCCCACGCGCCTCAACCGCCCGGCCTCGAGGCGTAGTCTCGCGAGACTTGGAGAGCCGGCTCGGTTCCTGGTTGGTGGGATTGCGCTGAGAAAGCCGGGGCGGCAGAGGCGAGAGGGGGCCCTCAAAGAAGAAGGAACAACAACAAGAAGAGGGAAGAGGGGGAAAAAGACCGGCTTTGGACCACGCGGCGGAGGGAGACCGGTCCCACTGAGAGAGAGAGAGGGAAAGAGTGTGTGACTCGGCCTTCTTTTTTTAACCCTTCCGCCGCCCCTTCGGAGGAGTCTCTTCGGGATGATGTCTTCGGTGGGGCAGGAGGAGGAGAAAGGGGGCGCCCTCCTCGCCTCCTCAGCCTCGGTTCCCGGCACAGAGAGCGCGGGGGCGGTTGCTGAAGGGCCGCCCGGAGGAGGAGGACGAGGAGGAGGAGGACGAGGAGACGCCGACGGAGCGGTAAGCGACGCGCCTCTGAGGAGAAGGAAGGCTGACGTCCTCCTCACCGCCAAAGGAGGACGAGGACATGGAGGACACGGCCCAAGAAAAGCTGGCGTAAATGGAAACGCCTCTTCAAAACGGAGGACCTTTTTGGAATCCCCTCCTGGACGTGTCCGGGAAAAGGAGGACGCCCTGAAGGGAGAAAGAGGCCGGCGAGGGAGCTCTTCTTCGCACCGGCTTTCTGCCCCTTCCTCCTCCTCCTCCACCTTGAAAAGAGGAAAGAGAAGGGAAGGGAGGCTGTGGGAGGACCAGGGGGGCCCGACCTCGCCGTCCTCCTTTTCCAGGACGCGCCCTCCTCCATTTCAGCCTCCCGTCCAGGAGGAGTTCCCAAAAGGTCCTCCATTTCAGCCTCCTCTCCAGGAGGAATTCCCGAAAAGGTCCTCCATTTGGAGCATGGCCAGAGGTAGTCCTCCTTTTCCAGGACGTGCCCTCCATTTCAGCCTCCTGTCCAAGAGGGGTTTAAAAAGTGTCCAGAGGACCTCCATTTGCAGAACGTTTTCTCTTCGAGTTCAGCCTCCTGTCCAGGAGGAATCTCAAATGTCCTCCATTTGGAGCATGGCCAGGATGACCAGAGGTCCTCCATTTCCAGAACACGTCCTCCATTTCAACCTGTCCAACAGGAGGGATTTCAAAGTGTCCTCTATTTTGAGCATCACTAATGAATTTATACTTCTGAGTGTTTTAATTATTATTATTATTATTTAAAAGCTTTTCTTTGGGAATGTCCTCCATTTTGCGATTCCTTGGCAGCGAGGACACCTGGTAAGAGGTAAGTAGAGGTCCTCCTTTTCCAGGACATGTCCTCCTCCATTTCAACCTTATTCTCTCCAGGAGGGATTCCAAAATGCTCTCCATTTTGAGCGTCACCACGAAGCATGGATTTACATTTTTGGGAGTGTTTTTTAGCTTTTCTTTGGCCATGTCCTCGATTTTCCTTGAAAGTCCTCCATTTTATGATGCCTTGACCTCCTTAGCGATGTGGACCTCTGTCAGCAGGATCCCCATCTTCCTCCTCTTCTTCTTTGGCTCTTGGAGTAACTCCCTACCAAGCATCGGATGGGCCCTGACCGAGCCTCGTGGGGCTGAGACAATGGCAGCAGCAGGAGGAGGAGGAAAGGAGGACACTGCTGCCTCCCTGGCCCTGCTGGAAAAAAGACACTTAATGGCCACTTTTGGGTGTTTTTAATTTTCGGTGCTTTGACATTGAAGGCTCTTCAAGTCTCAATTTTGGAGAAGAAGCAGTATATAAACGAGGAGAAGCCGCTCCAGTTGTAGGAGCCAAACCGTGAAAGCGTGGCTCTGGATGGATGCTCCTTGTTGCCTGGGTCCTTGGAGGCTCTCCTCCTCCTCTTCGCCTTTCAGTCCTTCTTCCAGCTGTTGGTGGTTGTGTGCCTCCCAATGATGCCCAAACTCTGGCCTTCCAGGTCTTTTGGACCTTGGCTCCCAGAATCCCAGACTCCTAGCTAAGATGACGGAGGCTTTTTGGGAACTGAAGTCCAAAACACCTAGAGGACCAGAGTTTGGGCATCACTGCTTGAGGCAACCCTATCATGGGGTTTTCTTGGAAAGGTCCTCCAGAGTGGGTTTTGCTATAGCTTTCATCCTAGGATGAAAGAGTGTGACTTGCCCAAGTGGGTTTACATGGCTGAGCAGGGATTCAAACCCTGCTCTCCAGAGCTATAGCCAACTCCAGAATCCATAGTCCAAACCTCTACACCACTTTATTGTTGTCATGTGCCTTCAAGTCGTTTCCCACTTAGGGTGAGCCTATCACAGGGTTTTCTTAGTGGAATGGGAGGGCTTGCCTTTGCCTTCCCCTGAGGCTGAGAGAGTGTGACTTGCCCAAGGTCACCCAGTGGGTTTTTCTGCTCCAGCAGAGATTCGAATCCTGGTCCCTAGAGTCTTAGTAGAGCATTCAAACCACTAGGCCACAGTGGCTCTCACCATCTCTGCCTTTTTATCCTGCAGAGGGGATGTGATGAGGGCCTGGTAAGGTGAGCTTTTAACTGGAGGACAGGAGGAGAGGCAGGTTTCTATTTCTCCCTTGTGGGATGATTCGCCCTCCTCAGGCTGCCTTGCCTCAAACACCAGATGGGTTTATTTTGTGTTCCAGTGATGCTGATGATCGGGTCAATTCTCATGCTGAGTGAACTGTGTCTGTCTGTGAATTTCTCCTTCAAACACTGCTAAACATCCTTCCCACTCCACCATCATGCGTGAGCGGACAGGCAGCCTTCAGGATGGTTTTATCTTGCAGCATGTTGCAGTGGGCTCCTTGTTGATAAACAAGAAACTCAAGTCCAGGGGATCCTAACCTGGATGCAGACACTTGCTTTGGATATTTCGATACAGCAAAAGCCCATAGGGTAAAGATCCAGTGATAGCAAAATAGATGCTCCAGATAAGGAGAACGACGAAAACTATTGTTTGGATAAAGTTCTTGGTTTAGCTTTCTCTCATTCAGCAAGGGTATTGAATATACTTTTTTTGATAGAATTCAGAGACATACTTTTGTTAGTCTGGAGTATCAGTATATGAAGGGATGTTGTAGCACATTTGAGACTAACTGAGCAAAAGCTGAGTGACATTGTAAAATAGGCTTTCTGTAGACTTGGTTTACTTCGTCAGGACCATCTGTCCTCATTGACCATCTGTGAAGGTAGCCCATGTCTACAAAAGCTTATGCTACATCTTATGCTCAGTGTATCATGGATGATTGCATCACACTGTATACGGGGACTTTTGGATCGTTTGTTTCCACTCCCCTCAGGTATCAATTTTTGCTTCTCAGTCAATTTGCTAACCTTACAGTAAAAAGAAGGGGATGATTTTTACCAGCAATGATATATTGTTGAGAGCTCCTATTTACTTGCAAACTACTTGGGGATTGGTTAGGTTAACACAGTTGCCTGCATTTTTAGATTTTTCAGGGGATTCTTTGCATATGGAGATGATAGATAACTGTACACAGCACAACCAAGAGTGTCATAATGGCCAATGAGAATTCTGTTTTTTTGCTTCAAAATGTACATATGTTCCATTTAGTTATATATCATAGTTACTATCTGTAAGTATGGCACACCTTGGGGAAAAAGTTACTCGAAGGAAATCCTTCTGAAATCCTTGCTTTCTGGTAAATATTGCTTACAGTTGCAGCCTTGTCTGTTTATGGAGAAATGTCGTCTTGGACTTGACTTGAGTGTTTTATGTTCTTAGTGTTGGCATAGACTCCACCCTCCTAAATTGAATATTTTATTCATGTAGGAGGTCATGAGTAAATGTTAGGCTCAGATTTCAAAAAATAACCCCCCACCTGTTCCTGTGACTTACCTGGGCATCTCTGTCCATTATGTGAACAGAAGGTTGGACTATACAGGCACTTGTAATGGCCTTACATACCTTTTAAAAGCATTTGTCTTAATGTTTGCAAGTTGTTTTAAGTAAGAAGGAATGATGGGCAATGTGTTACAACCAAAGGATGAAAACTGAATTACAGTGAATGTGAATTGTGAATCTTTATTACAATTTGCCAATGAGTCTTTGCCATATTTTTGCTATATTACAACACAAAAGAAAGCGTTCAGTCCTCATCCGCGCCCTTTCAGCACAGTGTGTCTGCATGCTGTGCCGGGAGGGCATCCTGATGCTGCGCGCTGTGTAAATGGCTGTGTGGCGTCAGGACAGCGTTGGGGTGGAGTTGGGGCGCCCGGCATGTGGCTGCCCGCCCCTAACTCCAGCCCCATGCTGGCCCTTTAGGCTGGTCTGTGACGCCCCCAAGACACCTTATCCCCAACTGCATGGTTTCTCTTATTGAGTCTATCCACCTGGAATGTGTTCTTCCTTTTCTCCCATTGCCCTCCACTTCAACAAGCATGATAGTTTTTCCTATTGAGTACATTTTTCTCATGATATGGCCAAAATGCAACAATCTCAGTTTAGTCATCTTTGCTTCTAGGGAGATTTCAGGCCTGATTTGCTCTACGGTCATCTTGGTCTTTAGCAGTCCATGGCATTCTCAGAACTCAGAACTCTTCTCCAGAAAATGAATTGATTTTTTTCCCTATCCAGCTTTCACAACCAAGCATAGAAATGGGAAATATGATGGCACATGGACGGTCGTAACTTTGGTATTTAATGATATGTCTTTACAGTTCAGGATCTTGTCTAGTTCCTTCATAGCTGCCCTTCCAAGTCTTAGTCTTCTTCTTCTAGTTTCTTGACTGCAGTCTCTACACTGATTGATGATTGAGCCCCAAGTATGGAAAATCTTTAACTGTTTCAATCTCTTCACTGGCTGCTTTGAAAGTATATAGATTATATAATTTAAATTATACAGATCATCTGTAGTCATAATTTTTGTTTTCTTGATGTTCAGCTGTAAACCTGCCCTTTCTTTTTCTGCCTTGACCTTTCATTGTATTCCCATGTCTCTTGATATTTTCTGCTACTATTAAGGTGCCCTCTGTATATTTTACATAGTTGATGTTCCTTCCTCCAATTTTCTTGAAATATTGTTTATTGTCTAAAAATTTTTTTGGGGGGGGGAGGTAGGCTGTGGGAACCTTTGAGGGGGCTAGAGGCCACATGCATGCCACATTTACTTACCTCTGATTAGTTTGAAGGAACCCCATCAGGAAAGGGGGATAGTGCTTTCCTCTTAATGATTCTGGTATTATCTGCTTTGTCATGAGCAGGTAACTGGGTTTTGATTCTGAAACTATGGGGTAGGAAACTGTGGGACCCATTAAAGTGGTCTTTTGCTAGAAGCTAATGAGCCAGTGTGGTGTAGTGGTTTGAGCATTGGACTATGACTGTGGAGACTAGGGTTTCCGGCTGTGTAAATCCACTGGGTGACCTTGAGCAAGCCACAATTTCTCAGCTTCAGAGGATGGCAGTGGCAAACCCTCTGAAGAAATTTTCCAGGAAAACCCCATGATAGGGTCGCCAAAAGTAAAAATGACTTGAAGGCACACAACAACAAGATGAGTTTCTTACCAATTACTTTCTTAATTATGATGGATGATTTTCTTTTGACACAGAGCTGTAGTTGACTTCTGGAATAGTGAAATCTCAGAGCTTGATACCCATTGTTCCTTAAGTTTGTCTCTTACCTTTGAGTGCTTTTTTCTTCCAAGAATTTAGGGGGAAAGTTTCTTAACTTTTGGGGGGAAATACTTTGAGAAAGAAAGAAGAATTTGTGCAGATACACAAATATGAAATTTGCATTTTGTTTTGTTTTATAGCATTGGAAATTAATTTCCTTTGCACAGATTAATTTTGAATGAAAAAAATGCAATGACTACTAAAAAAAACCCCCTACTTTTTATCTTAAAACTCACAGTGTTTTGAAAAGTTTAAAATAATTAGAAGAAAATGAAAGATCAATTTTTGCATCTGGTTCATTGATATCCTGAAGTACAACCATGAATTGCTGGTTCAAAATTGCTGAACTGGACCAACTATAGCAGCAGATTCTTGGCAAACCAGACTGCATAGGTGAGAGTTCCTCTTAGCATCTGCTGTCTGGCAGCAGTGGCAACAAAGAATCTATATTCACACTATTGTATCATAATGGTAATTGAACTTTAGAATTCCCTGAATATTAAGATTGCTAAGATCCGTTCACTTTGTGTTTTGGAATGGTTATGGGAAAGAAACAGGTTTTGTACTAGTGAAGGCACTCTAGCTCTAATTTTTATTTAGTATTGGGAAGGAGGTGCTGGTGTTCTAGCTCTTTCTGTTTAATCATGAAAAGGTACCTTGGAAACTGATGGACTGGATAAAAGTGCAAAGTGACAATCAGTTCTGACAACAAAAATACTGTCAGTTGGGAATTTGATTCTGGAATTGGAATACAACTTGTAATGATGGGTTTCACTCTCTGTGAAGACTGAGGTTATTGACTTGGGTCAGCTTATGGAGCTGATGCTTATTCTGGTTATATGCCTTCATGTCTTTTCTGATTTATGGCAACCCTAAGGCAAACCACCTATGGGGTTTTCCTGACAAGATTTTTTCAGAGGTGGTTTGCTATTGCCTTCTGAGGCTGAGAGCATGTGACTTGCCCAAGGCACCCCAGTGGGTTACATGGCCAAGCAGATAATCAGACATTGGTATTCCTTTTGTATTTTTTTAAATATTACAATAACTAATGCTTCAGTGATATCCAGATTGAATTACTGCAATGGGGGGGGGGTTGGTTGGGATACCTTTGACGAATTCTTTGGTTTGAAATATGACTTATGGGGCTTTGAATGGGGCTGCCTGTTTTGTAACAAGATTATTGGTTTCCAATAAAACTGATTTCTAATGGCAAGTGATTTGAGTAACCTGTTTCTTTAAACTATTTAACATGTTTGTGAAATTTTTAAGGTGTAAAAAATGTTTTTAATTGCTGTTTCCCTCTTAGGAAATGATTGATGATGAATCTTCAGGAAAACAGAAAGAGAACCAAGAACCAGATGCAACATATGAAGAAAAAATGGTTTGTGGTTTATATTGATGAACACTACATCTCTATGTTAAATGCATAAGCAGAAAGTTGCTAAAGAAGTTAGGGGGGGTTTCAGACTGCCAGAAATAGTGCAAATTGAGTCCACTTTTAGGGTTAGGGTTAGTGCTAGGGAATCATGGGAACTGATTTTTTTCTGAGACATTGAGCCTTCTCTGTCAGAGAGCTCTAGTGCCACAATAAAATACAGTTCCCATGATTCCCTAACCCTAAAAGTGGACTGAATTCGCACTATTTCTGGCAGTCTGCAACCCCCCTTAATCTTGTATCTGAAATTTTCTTTAAAAAGTGTTATCAGCAGTGTGAATGTGAACATAGTGAATGTTTGCCTATCCCACTTGCTTGATTGTGTCCTTTAGTTGTCTTTCCATTCTATATCCATAAATATATATATGTTTATGCTGTTTCCCACTATACACTATTCACC